CTCTCTCTCTCTCTCTCTCTCTCTCTCTCTCTCTTTTTCTTTTTTGAGACAGGTTTTTCTCTGTATAGCTCTGGCTATCCTGGAATTCACTCTGTAGACCAGGCTGATCCTGAACTCACAAAGATTCACCTGCCTCCCAAGTGCTGGAATTAAAGGCATGAGCCACCACCGTCCGGCCAATTTGTACTTCCCTCGTATGTTAAGGCTATTAGCTTTGTGTTGTGTAATGTCAGTTTAAACATATTATATTTAGTTATATCATTTATTTATGTATTTATTTATTTATTTATTTATTTATTTATTTGTCTATCTATCTTTTGGCTTTTTGAGACAAGGTTTATGTAGCTTTGGAACCTGCCCTGGAATTTGATCTATAGACCAGGCTGTCCTCAAACTCACAGAGATCCACCTGGCTCTGACTCCTGAGTGCTAGGATTAAAGGCATATACCACCACCTCGCCTGGCTAATTTAGTCAATTTCTGTATTATTTTCTTTCTTTCTTCCTCTCTTTCTTTCTTTCTTTCTTTCTTTCTTTCTTTCTTTCTTTCTTTCTTTCTTTCTTTCTTTCTTCTCTTTTTGAATTTTTTCAAGACAGGGTTTCTCTGTGTAGCCCTGGCTGTCCCAGAATTCTCTCTGTAGACCAGGTTGGCCTCAAACTCACAGAGATCCACCTGCCTCCTGCGTGAATGCTGGGATTAAAGGTGTGTGCCACTGATCCTGAGACTTTTGCTATGTAATCTAGGCCGGTCTCAAACTTGCAATCCTCCTGCCTGTTTCCTGAATACTGAGAGTATAGGCATTCACAACCACATTTTATTTTTCTTTTTAAAGGCATTTATTTACTTACTCATTCATTCTCTCTCTCTCTCTCTCTCTCTCTCTCTCTCTCTCTCTCTCTCTCTCTCTCTCTGTGAGTGTATATGACGTGGCACACTTATGGGGCTTAGAGGATGACCTGCAGGAACTGGTTCTCTCTTTCCATCACTCAGGCTCTACAGAATCGAACTCAGGTCCTTAGGCTCAGCAGCAAGTACACTTACCTCCTGTGCCGTCCTGACTGCCTCGCCCCTGCCCACCTTTAAACATGAAGACATTGGGGCGGGGGTGGGGTGGGGTGGGGTGGGGTGCTGTAGAGACGGCTCAGCAGTTAAGAGCACTTGTTGCTCTTGCAGAGGACCTGGCTTCAGTTCCCAGAACTCACATGGATGCCAGCAACTATCTGTAACTCCAGTTCCAGAGGATCCAGCAACCTCCTCTGTCCTCATGGGCACATGGGGTACATATACACATATGCTGGCAAAACCTTAAACATTTGTTATTTATATAGGTGCTTTGCCTGCCTGTATGTCTCTGTTCCATGTTTATGCCTGCAAAGATCTGAGGAAGGAAGAAGGTGTCAGTCCAGTAGAACTGGAGTCTCAGACAGTTAGGAGCTGGCTGCCTTGCAGGTACTGGGAACCAATCTCAGTTCCTTCGGAAGAGCAACCAGTGTTCTCATCCGCTGGTCCATCTCTCCAGCTACCACCACATCCCATTGTATGAAACATTTTAAGTTGGTTATTTTTAGTTTTACTTTTGGTAAAACTTTTTAAAAACTTTAGTTTTAAGTTTTACTTACATATATACTTGTATGTCTATGTGGAAATATATGCACATGTGTGCAGGTGCCCACAGAGGCCAGAAGAGAATGTGGGATGCCCTGGAGCTGGAGTTACAGGCAGTTGTGAGTCACCTGACATGGATGCCTAAACTCTGGCACTCTGAAAGAGCAACAAACAAACAAATGAATGAGTAATAAATAAATCAACATTCTGATATGCCCAGAATATTTTTATTCTACTGATTTAATTTTCTTTTTCTTTTCTTTTTTTGTTCTGAGATAGGGTTTCTCTGTATAGCCTTAGCTGTCCTGGAACTCACTCTGTAGACCAGGCTGTCCTTGAACTCAGAGATCCGACTGCCTCTGCCTCCAAGTGCTGGGATTAAAGGCAAATGCCACCGCCACCTGGCTAGATTTAACTCTTCAAGTAAGGTATTTACACTGTAGGGATTCAGATATTCCCAGTGTGAAGTAGCCTACTTCTGAAAAGGTTTCTGACTGGTTGGCCTTGAGAACGATGTGTGGATTCGGGTCTGTCTCCACGTCTTGCATCCCATGGGCAGCATTTTCAACCTCTTTCCCGTAAGTTTCCTTTCTTACATTCGAACTCATCACCCTTTGATTCCAAGTGGATTTCTTGATCTCTTGTAATGAAATCAGCGTCTGACCAGAGAACAAGGAGCCCTCTTGTAACTGAGCTGGCTGGCTCTACCTAGGCAGGCTTTCCAGGTGGCCAGGGATGCTGTGGAAAACGCTGTCCGTCACTTCTTACTCTCCCCGAGGCCGACACAGCAATCTTTCGGAAACACGGTTCACGTTTCTGGTGCTTCTCTTTTAGAGTAACCTACACATCTGTAGGACCTTGATGTGAGTCGGTGTCATCTGTGAGATGGCTGGCAGCTCCCGAGTGTGGTGGTCACTTCTCAGGCCCTCCCTTTGCCTTTCCCACGAGGCAGGCAGTGGTCATTTGGCCTTGAGAATGCAGAGCTTCTGGTTGTCACTGTGCTCCTTTCCTTCTTGAGTCCTACGGTCTCTTGAAATGATCTCAGCTTGGACTCCCACGACTTATTTTCCTCCCGCTTACCCCTCCCCCATACCCCGAGGATGAGCTCTCTACCTTTTAACGCATGGCCAGCGTTCTTTCCCTTGTAGAGCAGCTCAAGGACATTGCTTACGGCACTCGGCAGCCGTCAATGTGTCTGGAGCCCCGGCCAGCCCACAGAGGCGAGGACGAAGTGGACCTTTCCCTGCTGCGTCGAAATGAGAATCTTTTGGAAGTGCACATCCACCAGGCCTTCCTGACCCCCGCCGCCCTTGTGCAGGCTGGAGACACGCAGCCTACGACTTTCTGCACTTACTCCTTCTATGATTTCGAGACCCACTGCACCCCGCTCTCTACTGGGCCACAGCCCCTCTATGATTTCACCTCCCAGTTTGTGGTGCAGACAGATTCCCTTTTCTTGCACTACCTTCAAGGGACTTCAGTCCGGCTTGATCTCCATCAGGCCGTGACAAGTGAGCATCACATCCTTGCAACCGGATGGATTTCATTTGACAAGGTGCTAGAGACCGTGGAGAAAGTCCATGGCCTGGCCACACTCACTGGTAAGTGCTGTTGGCTTCTTGTAGTCCTTAGGAAATTGCCATAGCCTGGAGCTGCTTCCTGGTAGTTTCCCTTTTCCATCCTCTGCCCCCAGCCTGGCCCTGGACTCATGGCAATCCTCCTGCTTCAGCCTCTGGAGTGCTGGGATGTCGGGCATTTCGCCAGCCTGGCTTCTGTTCTAGTCTTGACTTTTACCACACTCTATTCTCCATGCCTTTCATGCTTTTTGCTATTCAGGAGCTGGTGGAGAAGACTTGGGGGTGTTAGAGTACTGGATGAGACTGTGCTTGCCCCTAAAATCCAGCTTCCAGGCAAGCAATAAGTGCAAGAAAGCCCAGGCCTACCTGTCAGTCAATGTGCTTGGAGCTTGGAAGGCCCTGAAGGATGATGAGGTGAGAAAGAAGATGCACTCATGCATCTCATGTCATCAGCCAGGTGGCCCCCCGAAAAGGATGCGCTTTCCCATCCCCTATGAGTATTCGCGAATGTGGAAAACCGCTACAGGAAAGCCAGTCCCGAGTCCTCCCGTGGTTAAACTTGAGCAGAAATGAATTCATGCCCAGGGTTAGATGCTTCTCTTTGTTGTGAACACATCACCTTTTCTCTATCATTCTCTTTTTGTAATTGTAATTTTTATCTCAATCAGTGATTGGCACTGATATGAGGCCGTCTCTGGAGGGCTACGCCTTCAGGTACTGGAGTCGGGCAGGTTTGTCGCAATTCCCCAACGAGGGAAACTCAGATTCAGTTCCAACCCCCAGAGTTCCCACCCCACGCTTCTCTCAAAGTCGAGTCGCACTTGTCACGGTGTTACTAGGTGTCTGGCCTGGGAGTTCCCTCTGGCTGTGTGCATCTTAACGAGCTTGGGGAGCTTCCCATGCCTCTACGTCAGTCTTCACCAAAGTTGGAAATCTGGGGCCCATTAACCTTCAGATGTTCTTTTCACTCTAACCCTAGCCTCATCCTAGTAATGATTAGAGCTTGCAACGCTGTCCCGCAGGGAATACCTGTTGAGTTCTGCCCATTTTGGTCGTCGTTTTTTTTCCTTTCTAAGCTTTGGTTCGGCTCTTTCCCACTGCTATAGTTGTACCGACTTTCTTCAAAAGAAAATCAAATATTCAGTTACAATGAATAAACAGCATAAATTTATTTATTTACTGTGTTTGTACATGCCACGGTCTGTATGTAGAGGTCATAGGACAACATGTAGGAGTCATTTCTCCTACCATGTGGGAACTGGGATCAAAGCTAGCTTCATTCTCTCTGTCTATCGTTCAGTAGGGTAAGCCTGAGGATAATGAGCTTGCCCCTGCAGCCCCCAGAGCCAGGGACAGGCAGACGATGGCCATCGGGCTTCCTCATGGCCTGGCAGAATAGGTTTCTAGGTCATGATGCTTCTCCCCTCTGTGGGCTGCCCTGTAACAGCAGGTCTCAGGCTGCCCTGAGTCCAAGATCCACATCTTTCCAGTCCAGATCCGAGACTTGGACACCTCGGAACAAACTGCGGATTGAAATCACCAGGTGCTGCGGCCTCCGGAGTCGATGGCTGGGAACTCAGCCCAGTCCCTATGTCATGTATCGCTTCTTCACCTTTCCTGACCACGACACCGCCATCATCCCAGCCAGCAACAATCCACACTTTAAAGACCAGGCTCTGTTCCCAGTGCTCGTGACCTCTGAGCTGGACCAGTATCTGAGGCGGGAGGCCCTGTCTGTGTACGTTTTTGACGATGAAGACTCGGAGCCCGGCTTCTATCTCGGTCGAGCTTTCGTGCCCCTGCTGCCTCTTGCACAAAACAAATCTATCAAAGGTGGGCGTTGCCCCTTTCGGTGCTCTTCCTGGTGTCACCTCCCTGTCCTTGCTCAGCTTTTTTTTTTTTAAGATTTATTTATTATGTATACAGTGTTCTGCCTGCATGTGTCTCATTATAGGTGGTTGTGAGCCATTATGTGGTTGCTGGGAATTGAACTCGGGACCTCTGGGAGAGCAGCAAGTGCGCTTAACCTCTGAGCCACCTCTCCAGCCCCTTACTCAATTTCCTTTGCTTACTTGCTTAGAATAGTCACTCTTCCATTTAGAAAACATCGTTTTTATTATGCATGTGCATGCGTGCTGTGGGTCTGTGAGGGGACATGCCACCATAGGCACTCGGAGGACAGAGGACAACTTTGCAGAGTCCGTTCTTTGCTTCCATCTTTCCGTGAGTTCGGGAGACTGAATTCAAGTCCTTAGACTCGGGTGGTAAGCACCTCTTCCTGCTGAGACATGTCGGCCCGGAGCGATCTCTCTTAAACTCTGAAAGGACTCGGGGACGTTATCAAGAGCAACAGAACAAAGAGTGACTGCCTCGCTTGTGTGAAAACATGAGCTTCAGCTCTGAGCAGCTGCACGGTCAAAATTTCCGAGGAGCTTCAGCCCCCAGCCCAAATCCCATACCCCTCCCCCGTCTCTGAAAACCTCATTGTGAACGTGGTGTCTTCTGCCTTGAATCCCGGGACTTGGGAGGCAGAGCACAGACTGAGCTACGTAGTGTGTTCCAGGCCACTCAGGGCTGTGTGGTAAGACCTTGTCTCACAAAAAACAAACAAACAAAAACCCCTGAAAACAAACAAAAAACTGAACAAGGACAACAACTCTTCCATGCTCCCCAGTACTCGCCTGTGTTTAAAGACTTGTTTCCCGGTTCACGGCGCGAGATCTAAGCAAAGCTCCTTGTAATCTCATTGCTATTAAAGCATTAGAGGTGACCATGGCAGGTGACAGCAGCCTTCAGTGTCCTGAGCTCAGCTCTCTTCTGCCTTCCTTGTTTGCTTACTCGAGGTTGTGGGGTACACCTAGGAGAGCCTTAGTCTGGCTTCTGTCTGGAGAGAGGAGAGAGTTGAGGCAGTGATTTCTGGACGTTCACTAGGCAGTATAGTCAGGATCAGCGGTGTCCACCATATTCAACAAGATTCCGAGTGCCCTTGGAAGTGTGCGAGGCCTCTCTCTGGCCAGGATCATAGCTCTTTACAAAACAGGATCTGTCACTGAGAGGATAGGCAAGCCACCTACTAAGCAGGGCTGCAAAGTCAGAAAGAAGCCTGTCATTCAGGGAAAAGCCACTTTGCTTGTTTTCTTGGTACCACTTGCACAGGTGGTAGTTTTCTGGAGATGGCCGCAGCATGGTAAGTACTCAGCGACAGTGAAGATGACTCCGTCACGGTCACCATGACGAGCCAGCTGCATTCCTCTCCATGCACATTCTGAGCATCTCTTTCTGAAACTGGGAAATGCCTGTCTTCCCCTGTGATTCTCTCGCCACACTGCTGTTTTGTGTTAACTTTGTGTATGTTTTGAACTTTAATGTATGTTAATAAATGACTAACACATGCAATGAATGTTTAAGTGGGAAGAAATAGAAACGATGCTCATAAATAATCCCTAGCCTGTCTCATGAGACCAGGTGTGACCAGTTTCTCTGTGTCTCTAAGGTGATTTTAATCTCACGGACTCTTCGGAGAAGTCCAACGGATCTATCAAAGTGCAACTAGACTGGGAGTCTGACTACCTGCCCCCAGAGGTCCTGGAACCGGAAGATGAGACAGAGGAGAAGGAGATCAAAGACGACTTTGAGGCCTCAAGCACAGAAGAACAGGTCCCTTACATTCCCCAGGTAACTGACTTTTTTTTTTTTTTTTTCAGAGCTGAGGACCAAACCCAGGGCCTTTGCTCTACCACTGAGCTACATCCCCAACCCCAAGTCTGATGCTCTACCGACTGAGCTATCCGGGCTCTTGGTAACTGACTTCTTAGAACTCCCTGGACAGCGGACCTCTCTACACATGCTGTGAAGCCAATTGGAGGGAATAGTCTCGGGGCTGGAGTAAAGGAAATTCTTTCTATGAGCACCACCATTATATATATAATCAGATATAATCTGGAAGCTCCTGACGGAGCAGATCCTCAGGCTTTCCTGTGTAGAGGGGCAAGGGCAGGGGAGACGGCAAACCAGATGCTGGGCTGTTGTCGTTGAAGGCTGTCTGTCTCTGATTCATCTACTCAGGACCAGATGGCATCTACAGAGATTCCCACCGAGGATGGCCATTATCAAGTGAAGGGAAAATCCTCTCCAACAGCAGAAAGGAGGGAAAAAGAACGTGAGATTGTATGCTACTCCAGAAGAAAACACAGCAAAAGAACCAATGTCCAAGGCAAGAACCGAATGGAATATCTGAGCCGTCACGTCTTGAATGGAAACACGCTGCAGGTAAGCCCGCCCCCAGGGACTCCGGAGAGCAGAGCACCTGCGGCCATCAGAGGGGAGAAGAAGGGGAGGCAGGAAGGCGTTTTCTAAAGCCCCGATGGCTGCCCCCCGTCAGTGTAATTGAACCCAGCACTTCAATGCTGTGCACGCTGTAACCGAGGCTTGGAACACTAACGCTATGCTAAGCATTTCTTCAAAAGGGTCTGAATGTTTAAAGTTCAAAAAGGCTAGCGTTGAGAAAGAAAGGTAAGATGTTATGCCACTCACGTAACACTACTGTCCTTGCTCTGAAGCAGGTGCAGTACACTGAGTGGAAGTTCTCAGGGCTCAAGACATCTGAGGATGACGGTTTTAAAAGTCATGTCAAGAAAGTGAAAGTGCCGTTATCCCATTCAGCACTGAGACAGGAGGATCCCTCGTATCCTGTAAATGGTATTGTCTTTCTAAGATCTAATTTTTCTATTTCGTAATTTAATTATTTTCTTTTTATAGTATTTATTTTTATTACTTTTAATGATGTGTCAGTGCATGTGTCTGCTGGTGGGTATGTGCTTGTGAATCCCTGTGGAAGGTGCCTGTGGAAGCCAGAAGCATGGAATCCTCTGAAGCATCCTGATGTGGGTGCTGGGAACTAAACTCAGGACCTCTAGAAGAATGAGTGTTCCTAACCACTGGGCAATCCCCTCAGCTCCTGATTTATTTTCTAAAATTATTCACTGATTTTTATGTTATGGTGTATCTTAGTTACTTTCCTATTGCTGTGATATGACACTATGACCTGGGCAACTTTTTGTTTTGTTTGTTTCTTTTTTTTTTTTCCCAAGGCAGGGTTTCTCTGTGTACAGCCCTGGCTGACCTGGAACTCACTCTGTTGATCAGATTGGTCTTGAGCTCACAGATCCTCCTGCCTCTGTTCTCAAGTGCTGGGATTAAAGGCATGTGCCACTATGCCTGGCTGACCTAGGCAACTTACAAAAAAAAAAAAGTTTGTTTGGGGTGAGTCCATGACCATCATGGTGGGGAGCATGGCATCAGACAGGCAGGGATGGTGTTGGAGAAGTAGCTGAGAGCTCACATCTTGAGACACGGTCATGAGGCAGAGAGAAACACTGGGAATGGCCTGAGTCTTTTGAAACCTCCAACTTGTTCCCAGTGACACACCTCCTCCAACAATTCCACACCTCCTAATCTTTCCAAAACGGTGTCACCAACTGGAGACCAGGCATCCAAACCTATGAGCCTCTAGGGACCATTCTCATTTAAACCACCAGACAGTGATAAACAGTTAATGGAAAATTAGTGTTTCAGTTCCTCTTTCTTAGGTTACAAGTGTGAGAAATTAGGCCAATTCAGGCTTGAATTCTCAAAGGAAATTACCTTCCTATACGTTTATAGCTAGCCTGCTAGCAAGCTAGCTTAGTTTCCTAGTATTTTTAATATGTTAAGATTCCCTAGAGCTCAGTAAATAATGTCTGGAAAGACATCGGAGGGTTGTTACTGGTTCACTTGTGAGGTTGTGATTCTTCTAACCTAGAGCGAGGCTGGGCTGGAGTTAAGAGCCCTGGCTGCTCTTCCAGAGGACTCTGGTTTGATTCTCATCATTCACAACCATCTGGAATTTCAGTTCCAGAGAACTGCATATTCCTTTCTGGCCTCTGCGGACACCAGACATTCATTCACATGGTATGCAGACATATATGGAAGATTACATCCACATGCATAGCATAACATTTTATTACTCATATTTTATGCATGCAGATGTGTTTTCACGTATGTCTATGTGCCTCATGCATGCCTCAGAAGTCAAAAGAGGGTGTCAGGTCTCTTGGAACTGTAATTACAGATAGTTGTGAGCTGCCATATGGGTGCAAGGAATTAAACCCAGGTCCTCTGCAAGAGCAACATGTGCTCTTAACTGCTGGGCCATCTCTCTGGCCCCTTTTTTTTTTTTTTTTTTTGGTTTTTCGAGACAGGGTTTCTCTGTGTAGCTTTGCGCCTTTCCTGGAACTCACTCTGTAGTCCAGGCTGGCCTCGAACTCACAGAGATCCGCCTGCCTCTGCCTCCCGAGTGCTGGGATTAAAGGCGTGCGCCACCACCGCCTGGCCGCCCCTTAATTTTTTTTTAAACAGATTATACACCATGACCAAGTAAGAATAGTTCCATAAGCACAAAATTACTTTCAAAATAGGAAATTAGCCATGTTTGGTAGCCTAAGCTTTAATCCTAGAACTCTGGAGGCAGAGGTAGGATCTTTATGTGTATGAAACCAACTTGATCTACATAAAGTATACTAGGCCAGCCAGGGATACACAGTGAGACCCTGTCTCAAAAAAAAAAATCAAAATAGGCAATTAACTTAATATGCCGTAGAATTAAAGTCTAAAAAACTTTGAGATCATTCCATTATTTTGAGGAAAAGCATTTTTTTACAACTTCCATTCTTTTTATTTATTTATTTATTTATTTATTTATTTATTTATTTATTTATTTATTTATTTATTTATTTATTTTTTGAGACAGGGTTTCTCTGTGTAGCTTTGCACCTCTCCTGGAACTCACTTTGCAGACCAGGCTGGCCTCGAACTCACAGAGATCCACCTGCCTCTGCCTCCCGAGTGCTGGGATTAAAGGCTTGCGCCACCACCATTCCATTCTTGATAAAAATTGTTAGAAACCTAGGAATAGAAGGAAATCACTCTGAATGACTGAAGTGTAATAAAATCCATAGCAAACATCATACTCTGAGGCAACCCGACTTACCTGAAGACTGAAGGGTGTTTATTTTTATTGCTCCTACTGAACATTATAGTGGAAATATTTTTTGGAGACAGGATTTCTCTGTGTAGTTCTGGCTGTCCTGGAACTCTCTGTAGACCAGGCTGGCCTTCCACTAAGAGATCTGCCTGCTGCTACCTCCTGAGTGCTGGGATTAAAGGCCCGCGCCACCATGCCTGGCTTAGTGCAGATTCTAACCAGAGAAACAAGGGGAGGAAAAGTAGTCAGAATCACACAGGTTGGAAAGCAAATGGTCTTACCTTTATTTGCAGTTGAAAAATCATGTTTCTAGGAAATCATTTAAAAAAAAATTACGGCCGGGCTGTGGTAGCGCGAGCCTGGGGTGTTTTCTCCTTTAAAATGTTATTTTCCATGTGTGCAGGTGATCATGGCGCATGCCTTTAATTCCAGCACTTGGGAGGCAGAGGCAGGCAGATCTCTGTGAGTTCGAGGCTAGCCTGGGCTACAGAGTGAGTTCCAAACCCTGTCTCAAAAAAATAAAATAAATAAAAATAAAAAAATTTACAAAAGGGGTAGCTGGAAATATAGCCTAACTTTGCATGTGACCGATTCTCCAAAACCAACCATATTTCCAGGAGACAATTCTTTTCACACTATCATAAGAAAGAATGAAATACTTAGGGACGTATTTGACAAAGAAATCTAAGACCTATGCAGTGAGAACCACAAGGATTCTCAGGAAGGCAGTCAGGATGACTTAGGTAAAATTGCTTGTCCACTAACCTGAGGCCCTTAGTTTGATCCCAAGCACCCACACAACAGTCAGATGTGCTTCACCTCTGTAATCCTGGCACTCCTCTACAGCAAGATGGGAGGCAAAGACGGAATTACCTGGAGGCTCTTGTGTGAAACAAGATGGAAGTAGAGAGCCAATTCCAAATAAATACATACATAAATCCTTTAAAAAATGTTATATGGAAAAAAAAATGTTATATGGAGTAATTAAAGTGGGATCCCCAGCTCAGGGACTGGTACTATCCACCTTTAACATGAGTTTTACCCTAGGCTGGGGATGATGGTGCACACCTTTAATACCTACAGTCAAGAAGGAGGCATAGGCAAGTGGCTTTCTGTGGGTTCTAGTCCAGCCTGGTCTACATGATGAGTTCCAGGCCAGCCAGGGTTACAGAGTTTCTTAAAAAAAAAAAAAAAAACTAGGGGAGGGGAAGTCTTCCCATGTCAATCAGGATAATTCCCCACAGAGAAGACCAAATGTCCATCTCTCAGGTGATTCAAGATTCTGTCTGTTGACAACATTAAAAATCACAAAAAAAACAAAAAACAAAAGAAAAAAAGCAGCCGGGCGACGGTGGCGCACGCCTTTAATCCCAGCACTAGGGAGGCAGAGGCAGGAGGATCTCTGTAAGTTCGAGGCTAGCCTAGTCTACAGAATGAGTTCCAGGACAGGCTCCAAAGTTATACAAAGAAACCCTGTCTCAAAAAATAAAATAAAATAAAAACAAAACAAAATCACATGTGCATTTTTTTTTTTAAAGAGAAAGCCCCACGTAGCCCACACTGGCCTTGAACTTACTATGTAGCTGAGGATAACCCTAAACTCCTGATTTTCCTGCTTTTACTTCCTAAGGGCTGACATTACAGTCACGAGCCACCACGTCTCTGTCTCTACTACAGTTTTAGTTGAAGGAGTCACAAAGATCTACTGCAGCAGAAGGGCACATACATCCATGAGAAGAGTGTGGCAGTCACACATGAGATGAGCAGAGGGTAGCAATACATATGCACACACCACACACACACATGCACGTGCGTGCACATACACACACCACATTGCTTGCTTTCTTCAGTGCTGTTGTTTTCTTCAAGCCCCTAAAGAGACTAGCCTGCCTGCCTACTTTCATTTTTATATACATTTTAATTTTTAAAATTTTATTTTATGTGTATGTATGTATGTATGTCTATGTACCACATGTTCTGGGGTGGCCACAAAAATCAGAAGAAGGTGTTAGGTCATCCTAGAGTGGGAGTTACAGATGGTTGAGAGCTGCCCTGCCAGCCCTGGGAACTGAACTCAGGTCTTCTGGAAGAGGAACCGGTGCTTGTAACTGAACTGTCTCTCCAGCCTATACCTTCCTTTCTTTTCCCTTCCTCTCCTTTCCCTCCACTGCCCTCTTCTCTCCTTTTTTCCGGTCATCCTTTCCTCCCTCCCCCCCCTCGCCCCCGCCCCCAAATGTACCCTGTGACAACAGACTTCTGAATGAGTGAACCTTCGAAGTGCAGAGTTTGATTCTGAAGTAGACGTGATCAGGTGGGAACTGGTGTGGGCACTGACTCTGTGTGGAGTGGAGGAGGTGTTTTGAAAGTGTCCTGCAATGTAGCCTCTCCTCTGGCAGACCAAGCATCCTCTGGACAAGCTTCTGAAGCCAGCGAAACACAAAGCCCCGACAGCGATGACGTCATAGTGACACCCCAATCTCAGATGTGTCCTAAAGCTGTAAGTACCCGGGGTGACCATGGCCTGTTAGAGAAGAGTCGCTGTTAGCAGAGTGCTTAGTGGCTACACATGTGAGATTCAAATCCAGGTTCAAAAAGCCCGTTGAGGAACGCAAGTTGCGTGAAAAGTGTGCCTGGGTGAACAGGAAGTCTGTTGCTACAGCGATGGAAGTGTTTTCTTATCTTGATGTGAACGGCAACAGAGAGCAGCGCCTCTCTGTCCTGTTCGGATCCCTGGCCACTCATGTCCTGCACTGTGGCCTTGTTCACACCCAGATCAGTTGAGGCCGTTTTTCAGGTGAGCAGACTTCCTGTAGGAGATGGAGACCACAGGAAAGGAAGGGATTCTTCGTGAAAGGCTCAGAGAAATGCTTCAGTTTCTGCAGTTTTTGACCCTACCGTCCTCCTTCCTTCCTCCCTCCCTCCCTCCCTTCCTTCCTTCCTTCCTTCCTCCTCCTCTTTCTCCTCCTGACCCTACCCCCCTCCTTCCTTCCTTCCTTCCTTCCTTCCTTCCTTCCTTCCTTCCTTCCTTCCTTCCTTCCTTCCTTCCTTCCTTCCTTCCTTCCTTCCTCCTCCTCTTTCTCCTCCTGACCCTACCCCCCTCCTTCCTTCCTTCCTCCTCCTCCTCCTCTTTCTCCTCCTGACAGGTTCTCTGTGGTGGTTTGAATAAGAATGGCCCCCATAGGCTCATATATTTGAGTGCCTGGTCACCAGGGACTGAACTGTTTGAAAGGATTACAAGGACTAGGCGGTGTGGCCTTGTTGGAGGAAGTGTGTCACTGGGGGTGGGCCTTGAGGTTTCAAAAGCCCATGCCAGGCCCACTCCTTCTCTCTTTGCGGATCAGGATGTAGCGCTCAACTACTTCTTCAGCACCACACACGTCTGCTGCCAGGCTCTCTGCCATAATGATAACGAACTAAGCCTCGGAAACTGTAGGCAAGCCTCTAATTAAATGCTTTTTCTTATAAGAGTTGCCCTGGCCATGGTGTCTCTTCACAACAACAGGAGAGTGACAAACTAAGACAGTGTCACTGTGTGGGCAAGCCTGGCCTGGGGACTCACAGAGATGCTCCTGCTCTGCCTCCGGAGTGGACTAAAGGTGTGCGCCACCATGCCCCGCTCATTCCTTCCTCCTAACTGATAATCAATATCCAATTAGAGTGGCGCATCACCTTTAATTTAGACAGCAGTCTACTGGGTAATGTTGATGGAACTTTCATGCTGGATGTTCATTACCTCGCAAAAATCACTCGCAGTTGCTCATTCTTTTTACAAGTGATTATGGGGTGCCCGTCTTAGTGGCGGCTCGGTCCCTTTCCTTGTTTTCTTTTCTTTGAGACAGGACTGTTGGTTTTAGCAGTCTCGGAACACAACAACACACACTAACAAGAGTTTTATTAAGGAGAAAGGGACAGATGTGTTCAGGCCTGCTGAAAGGACACGTGAAAAAGAGGGGGAGGGGATGTGGGATCTGCCTTTTAAGGACCACCCCAGCATGCCCACACAGCCCACGTGGCTCCTCTATGCATGCGCATAGATCATGTGGTCACGCCGCACACAATTTACGGGACCACGCAGCACATGGGTTATGTAGGATATATAACCCGGAAAGGACTAGGTGGAAATGACTAAGTGTCCTGCTGGGGCATGGGTGATCATGGGGGCGAGGCTGGAATTCCTATCATTAAGCTCACACCAAAGCCTGGGCTTGCTTCAAACTTTTTTGTGGCAGCCTGGCCTAAGCCTCCTGAGTCCTGGGATTACAGGCTCACACCTGATCCCTGGGTTGCAGGCAGAGAGAGAGAGAGAGAGAGAGAGAGAGAGAGAGAGAGAGAGAGAATGGTTAGTCCTGGTGTGGGCTTTTGAAGCCTATAAGCCCACCCCCAGTGACACCTCTCTTCCAACAAGGTCATTCTTCCTCAACATCCCCAAACTGGGGACCAAGCATTCAAACATAGGAGCCTATGGTGGCCATTCTCATTCAGACCGCCACATCCCACCCCCGCCCCCATAGGCTTGTAGCCGTATCATAACGCAAAAATGCATTCAGTACAGCTTCAAAAGTCCCGATACTCTATCCTGTCTCAACAATTTCAAAGTCCAAAGTCCAAGGTCCCTTCTGAGACTTAAGGAAACCTCTAACTATGGCCCCTATAAAAGTAAAACAACAAATTACGTATTTTCAGCATACAGTCGCCTAGTATACAGATTGTCATTACAAAGGGAGGGATGGGGCACAGGATGGAAAGACTGGACCAAACAAGACAGGAAACCTGCAGGGCAAGCTCCACTGTCTGTATCTCTGTGCCTGATGTCAAAGGGCTTCTTAGACGGCTCTTCATCCCTCCGCTCTTTCCAGTTTCGCTGACAGCTATCGAGGACTATGGGGGTCCAGCCCCTCGACAGTCCCCTCCCAGAGTCTGGAAGAATCTACAACCAGCTGATAATTACTCTTTGATGAGAAGAAATGAATCCATGTACATGAAACTCCTTAGTTCATACACTTTATTATTCTGTGATAATTCTCTCTCTACACAGCTTCTATTCTGCTCTCATGTCTAGCTCCTTCCTTGCCTGATTTCTCTATATTTACCTACTGTCCCCTCTAGGTTCTATCTTAATTCCTTCATCTAGTTCTGTCCCTTCTAGGTTCTCATCTATCTAGTTCTTTCCCCTATCAGCTCCTCTCCCATCTCCTTCTCTCTCATCTGGCTCTTCCTCATCTTGTTCTTCCCCATCTGGTTCTTCCTCATCTTTTATCTCGTTCCTCTAGTCCTTTCTTTTAGCTCTTCAATCTAGTTCTTCCCCATCTCAGGTTGCTCCTCTCAAGTTCTTACCCATCTAGTTCTTCCATTCTCTTCTCTCCTCTCTGTCCTCTCGTGCCCTGGGAGTCCTGGTATATATACAGTTACAAGCAGTATTCCCTTAGCAGTGCAAAACCAGGCTTCCAGGGTCAATTGGAGGGGTGATAAGAATCACATAGGGAGGCAATAACCGTTAATTATCATTTGCAACCCCAAAGGGAAGTGACCAATGGGGAAATGAATTAACTAAAGGCTAAATTCAGGTAATATCTAAGAAGAGGGATCTTATGTGCTCAACTATAATCTTAAACATAATTGGTAGAAAATGTTAAGAATCTATAAGTTGCTAGGTCAATGGGAGAAAATAAAACTGTCTTCTTTTTTTCCTGTGGCTCCTATTTGTCCAAGTTATCTGCTGTTTTTCTGCAGGGTTGGGGAAAGTGTGCTCAGTCGCTAGGCAACCTGTGTACAGCTAGATGCCTCTGGTGATAGTTAAAGGGAGATCTGGAACTGGAGGTAAAGTTTGGGAAAGGAGGAAGTAAGGCTTAATTGGCACATCCGCCAGGCCTTCTCAAACAGGTAGCCTGGATGCTTAAGTCTGTTCTTAGAGAGTACAGAGGTATCTCTGATAAGGTACTTTCCTCCATCCAGTGATGGACCTGGACGGATGCTGCTAATGATAATTACAGGGAGGCTTGAACTGGGGTTCTGGCTGAGCATAGCTGTCAGCGCAGAAGGTTATCTAAATATTCCTAGAAGTGGTTGGGTAAGGAATTAGTGGTCTATAAAGTTAGTAAGGCTGTAAGAAAGGGGGGTCCGAGCTGAATTGTGTAAAGATATTACTAACGTCCACCTGACCTAGGCGGTGTCTCCTTGTGGAATTTATCTTAAATCAGGAGACTTGCATGTGGACTGTTATTACTGCTAGTCCTTGAAAGTAGCCAAGGGAGATATCTGATTCCAGAGAAAGCCTTTCCTGAGGCTGTTCTCCAAATACCTGGAATGTGTCTGTCCAGAGAGTGATCGGTCCACACTGTTAGCCCTTCATAGGGAAAAGTCAATTGGGAAAACTATGAAGGCACACATGATTTTCATAACAGAATATAGCTGATATCTAACAAGCCAAGTAACACCAAAATCTCCTTGGGATTTGGCTTCCTCTGGAGGAATTCCCTGATTCCTCCAGGTAGTGACTTTGCCATAACCAGCTGGGTTCTTATGATATTCCTGCGGCCCACAGCAGACAGCAGCATGTTTCTTCCTCGGGCTGGCTCCACACCCTGTCTGCCACTCTTCTTGGCTCAGCTGTGCTATATGGCTGTGGCATCTCCAGCATCCTGGGGTCTCCAGGAGAATCCAGGCTTCACCTTGACAGCTTCACACAATGGCCCCTCTAGACTTGGGTACAGGGACTCCCCTGACACATGCCTGGCCTCTGCAGCTTTCCTCAGCCATGGTGGAATCGTCCATAGCCCCCTTCCTTTATCCTTCTTGACTCTACATCCAGAACTACATGGCGGAAACGGCCACGTTCCGCTGCCTTGCTGCTAGGCTTTTGACTCGGGAGAGGAAGGTGAGGGAGAAGCTACCTGTGTGCCGTCTTGGAAGTCTGACATCCTTTCTGTCTACTGTGGCTCCTCCCCCATCTCTCTGCCCCTTAAGGATATGTCTAACTCCTAGTCCTTCAACGCTTCCTTTCAAAGATTGCCACTGCTCTCTGAGCTAGGTGGGAGAGGGGCAGGAGGAGGACGGTGAGGGGCAGGGCCGCAGAAAACAGGCAGTAGACGTTCAAAGAGAAATGAAGGGACCGGAAGTCTGTCTTAGTTGATAGACTCCTTGTCCAGAATGCGTGAAGTCCTGGTGGTGGTTCACGCCTGTGATTGTAGCACTTGAGAGACGGAGGCAGAAGGAAGGTTATCTCCACTCCACAAAGAGTTCAAGGCCAGCCTGGGCTAAAAGGAAATGATGACCTCTGTGCTAAAGGTAAGGAAGTCAAATAGTGATTTGAGTACAAGACTGGAGAGATGTGTAAACATTAAACAAAATTTTAAATGACATTTGTTTATTCATTGTGTGCACCTGAGCGTGTGTGTGTATGTGTGTGTGTGTGTGTGTGTGTGTGTGTGTGTGTGT